ATCTTCTTTAAAACTGAATAACAGTCAACAAAAATGGTCTACGTATGAATGCGAACTTTTGGTAATTTACAAATCTATCAGGAAATTTCAGCATTCAGCCTTCTAACAGAAGGTTACAATTTTGTAATATATACCAACCAAAACCCACTAACATTCACTGCCAGGGAAAAAGCTGAAAAATCCTCTCCTCAACATCTGAGACACCTAGATTATATCTGTCCATTTTCCACTGATATACAGTGTAATAAAGGTAGAGAAAATGTTATTGCTGATACACTTTCCTGAATAGAAGTAGATTCTGTTTCTCACTCACCTATTCTAGATTTCGAACAGTTAGTCTTAGCACAACTCACAGACAATTAACTACAACAATTGCTAAGTTCTAGATCTTCCTTGAAGCTCTATAAACAGTATTTCCCTCTTGAAGATATTTACCTCCACTTTGACTCCACAATTGATATTCCTTGTTCTTTCATTCCCTGTTCATTTAGACTTATTATCTTCCAAAGTATTCACAACCTTTCGCATCCAGGTATATCTGCCACTTCAAAACTGATCTGCAAACGTTACATTTGGCCTAACATGGATACTTTTATGAAAAACTCCATGAAGATTCATGAGAAATGTTAATGCTCAAAAATACATAGGCATACGAAATCCTCGATTTTTGACATTTTTACTTCCTGATGTCAGATTTTCTTATATTCACATCTATTTTATAGGCCCATTACCAATTTCTGAAGGTTATCATTATTACTTGACCATAATCCATCACTTCACGTAATGGTCTGAAGTAGTTCCCACATCTGCTGTGTTGGCTGAAACAACTTGTAAAGCTCTAATTAGCAGACAAATAGCTCATTTTGGATGCCCTTCCACTATCACTTCTGACCAGGGTCGAAATTGAATCGCATCTTTTCAGGATGTTCATCAACCTGCTGGGCACTCATATTCGCACCACTGCATATAGACCTCAAGCAAATTTTATCATTGAACCGTTCCATTAGCAGCTGAAAAACAGTATAAAAGTATAAGAAAACCCTCACTGGACAGAATCGTTACTTATACTTTTGGGTGTTTGATCTTCCGTCAAAGACGAGATCCAGGCAACTTGTTCTGAGTTAGTCTACGATACTACTTTAAGGCTACTTTGGATATCTTGTGCTCAGATCAGCTTTCTGCATCATCTCCAACACCAACATATGTCAATCGTTTATGATCGGTAATGCAATCTCTATTGCATCATCAAAACACTCTTCAGAACCTGTCCACATTCATCCATCCTTAAAATTGTGTTCTCATGTTTATTTGAGAATTGTCTCAGTCAAGCATCTGCTTCATCAATCATACTTAGGTCCTCATGCTGTCATTGAGCAACATGACAAAACTTTCATCATCTCTGTGAACGGTAAGAATCAAACTGCTTCAATTGATCGAATCATACCTGCATTTTTTATTAGTGATAAAAATTTTGTCCATAAGATTAAACCTTCCAGTAAGAGGGACACATTGAAGAATTCCATGTGAACTATTCCTGAAACTATCACAAAATCGGGGTGACATTTCAAATTCCCTCAAAATTTGTCTAGCATATACTACATATAACTCTTATAATTTCAATTATGTATTTTTTGTAATGTTCGGTCTCCCTCACTGGGGGAGGGATACTGTGTGGTGTTGCTATGGAAATGATATAACCAATAAGATGATATGCTATGTTGCTATGGAAACAACACACATATTTTCCGTTCTAAAAATAATTATTAGAACTGACAAAATGCAGCAGAGTGGGAAAATGATGCAGCAGTTCAGTTTTCTGGTCGAAGTGTCATTATGTAATGTTTAATAAAGTTTTTACTTTTATAAATATGTCTTGCCTCATTATGAACCATCCACAACGTATATGATCCCCACAATTACACGCAAGCTACCATTAATACTTTGTTCGTTCTTAATGATTCTAGTACTGCATCATTACCGATCAAAGCATGTCCACACCATAAATCCTGTTTGCTCTTCATAATGAATTATATCGACACAATGTAGACCAAGTAAAAGTATGGCATAGCATTCGTTCTTTAAATCACATGGATTATTTTCTACAAACATTTAGAAATTGCTTGACAATCCACACAACAGCAGATGGTGAGAAGTAAACAATGATGGTTGAACATGCCTTTTGGAATGAAGCTACCTAGTTGCGATTGTCATTAATTGCTGACAGTTCTGTATGGTTTCCAGCTTTACACCCTATTGCAGGGCAAGCTATTAGACAATTTTGCAGAAAAATTTGAATTTGAAGACTTGACGACATCGTCACTGTTCACACTAAGCACAACTTTTAACATAGTTACAAAATACAGAAATTTTATTATATCTTGGTTGGGGAATGTACAATAAGCCATACAGTTAAATCATGTATGGAGTATAAGATTATTAATTCAACTGGAAAAGGGTCACAAGTTAGTTGTGTTTGTTTTGCTGTTTGTTAACTTCCAAAAAATTTAAGTTCTGGTATGATGCAAAAACCATTTAAGTTAGAGTTAGAAAATGCAGTAGAAAAGAGTGGCATAGTTACAATTAAATTTGTTTCCTTTCCCAAAGAGGCGATTAATTAGTTCTTAGGGAGACACTCACATTTGGCTTTATTCCTCTATTTAAGGTTAACTCAGTTTTAATTGATGAGTAAATTTGATTGAGAGAAAAATTTCATTAAAATAATAGAAGATCATTTGGGATTTTCTGATAGGTTGTTATTTTGGTATAAATGGTATGAGTTTTTAGATTGAAAGTTGCACACATATGATTACATTGCATAGAGTCTGTGAGATTTAAGTAGATTATCACAAAATAAAGTGCTATTTTAAAATTAAGGCACATAAAGCAAATATTCTTTCTAAGTGTAGCTTAACTGCTAAACTGTCTGTTAGCAAAATTTTGGAGCAGATTTTCTCAAATATTTTTGGATCATCAGATTTTTTGTGCTCCCTTCCAAAAAGATATTGCAATCGTAAATATCTACATTTTACCTAGAATTTGAATGTGAGCTCATTAGTTTGGTAGCACTATACTGACTGGGATGATAGTACATTTTCTGAATAATTGGGTAATGTAGATACTTCCAAAATTGGACAAAAATACTTAAGATTCAAATGAGATTCTGAAAAGTAATTTAACACTTAATCTTTTAGCTTCTAAAATATTACTTAGTGGATATAATACAGAGTGATCGTATAATAACTTGGCAAACTAACAATGACTTTGATAGTACAGAAAGGAAGGAACGTATTTCAACTTTTGTTGGGTAAGTAAAAGGTGACATGCATTCATTATACACAAATTACGGAATGGGGTTTTTTCTTTAAGTTTCTCATAAATGAGCAAGATAAAGGTCTAAAACTGTTTTTTCATTTTTCTGTGATGTTATTCTTGACTCCAATGAACTTAAAGCACAACACTAAGTTCAGCACTGTATTCCAGTAGAAAAATATATATATATATCACAGCCTTCAAGTCATTTTTGAACAATATCCTTCAGATGATCAGCATAGTGATGTGAATCATGCAAATTCTGCTGTAATTTTAGTGAAAAATCAGTGAGCAGGTATGGCAAGTGTAGATAAGTCCAAACTGAGAAATGTATCTATGTATTAATCATTAATATTTTTCTTTAAACTAGGTGCTTAATATTATAATGAGGGAATTTTGATAATGTTAATGACCATAAATGTTCTGGTTTTGAAAAGATGAGCTATCAGAGAAACTGTGGGGCGTATGATGTCTTGCGGAAATCACGTAATTGCCATAATGACGAGCTGTTGGCTGAAAGCTGGGTGAAAGGATGAAAGAGTAAGATTGTCAAATATTAGTAGTACTGAAATCAAGAGATTATAGAATTGTATGTTTAATGAGTGTGCAGTGTTAAGAAATGTGCTTCCATAATCTGTCTGTTTGCAACTACTTGCGATAATTGCTTTTTATTTCGAAGGGAGGAAAAAAACTGTAATAGTATTTTAGCTTGCTGATGATCATTTTGTTGTTGCCAGAAGATGTATTATGCTTCAAATGTGTCACGAAGTCTTTGTGTATATGGGCCATTTGCTGGAAGGTCATTTGTGTGTTCAACAGATATGTTTGCACATATCTGTTGCTCAAATATGAGCAGCATGGAAACATGTCAAATGGAGCACACAATGAAAGCTAATAATGTTCACAATTGAATGCAAATACTATTTTTGTTTCTTGCATAATCATCTTATGATCTGGAGAATAGAAGAAAGAAACACAATAAAGCAGTGTTTTTTTACAAGAGCACTTATAGGGAGGAACATATCCTATTTCAAGTAAGATCACTTAAAATATCTGCACATCTCTGTGTGTTTACTAGACGTTCTCGGCACGTTCTTGCAGAAATTTAAAATACTATGGTTTCGAAAATTTCAGTACATTTTAACACAAGTTTATTTATTGAAGAACATAAAAAAAACCAGATTTCACATTAATTAAAAGTTTATAGAGAAATTTTTGCTGCTTTTAAAAATTAACATTGAATTTTAATCTTGAATAACTGCAAAACTGTTGATGTTATTTTTAGAAAATGTGATATTTTTGCATAATTTAACTTTTGAAAATGAGAAAAGGTGTCTTGTCATTCCAGTAAAGTACAATTTGTGTTATAAAATATATGTTTGCAATGCGCTGCATAGATTTAATAAATGTGCTAACTTATCTCTTTGAGACATGGAAAATGCATTTTAAATTTTGAAAACCGTCAGTCAATAGAACAAGATATCTAAATGCCATCTTCTTTTTTGTGTACAAGATGAATGAAAATTGAGTGATAATACTTCATTGTTATTTCTGAGCACCATATGGACTGTAATGCCAGATATTCATACAAGCTGATTAATATAAGTAACAAAAATACTGTCTGGGAACTTTATATAAAGTTGTATGATTTCCTCTTTATATTTTAGTAAATGAAATATCTTTTGTTCTAGGTATTGTTACTGCTGAACCAGAAATGGTTGAGCTGGCTGATGGTGATGTTGTGCAGCGTTCAACTGCTCCATTATGGGGATTAGATATTAAATGTGGCAAAGGTACTGATTTCAGTTATGGACCTTGGGCTGACAGACAGAGAGAACACTTGTATAAATTCTTTTTTCCTCAGGTAATATGTTTGCAAAAGTATTAATAATGTTTTTAGTCTTTTAAATCGCACAGTGCAGATAAAATGCAAATTTTATTTATCTAAGCAATCTTACCAGAATGCCAGAAATGGTGCTAATATTTCTGTGTTATGGTAATGTGTGATTTATGATAAGAATCTAATACTTACTGGCAAAAAGATTAAAAAATGGGTGGAGGGATAGAAAGTCAACATAAGTTTATGAATTTCATTGCAAGTATACATTTGTTTAAAATGCTTCTCGTGAAGAAACTATTTTCACATTTGTTCAGAAGTCCCACTAATGACCAAGTAGTTAAAGCTTCTAAATACTGGGAATTTGAGCTGGATTCAGTCCCAGGTGAATGGGCTGGCTGCTTAGGTGTTTTTCATAGTTTTCTCCATATGAAACATGAATATGAGTCAATTTCACTCTGAAAGTCCTCCACATAGGCATCTCTCACCTTAGGAGATGGCCCTTATATGCTTTGTCATACCCCAATAACCTTACCTAACATATCACATTTGCATAACAAAATTTGTATTAAGGTCGGAAGATCTAAAATTTTCAACCTTAAATTCTACCTAATTTTAAGGTTGAAAATTAGGTAGAATTTATTAAACAATCTATCATTTAATTAAAACATTAAGAAAATATATTGTTTTTATTTTTAGTCTATTGACAGTAAATGCATTGTAGGAAGAAGTAATGATATTTTTTAATTTCCTGTGCTATTCATGTAAAGCATTTGTGACTATCACTTGCGAATAGAAATCCTAGTTGTGGGTGCTGTTTATAAGCAGTGTCACACAACGGGACATACATTACCATATCACGTACAGTGGATGGACAAAAATATGGAAATACCTTGTGAAATGCATGCTTGAAAAGAAAGATTGATTTTAATGAAATATGTAGATGGCGCTGGTGTTTTTGACTACTGACGCCACCTATACAACTTCGTAAATGTGCTAAACAGTTCAGTTATTGTCGGAGTACTGTTATGTGAGGTTGTCATTGCATTATGCCAGAGTTAACAGATATCGAACGTGGGCAAATTGTTGGAGCATGTATGGTAGGTGCTTCCGTAAGCAAGCTAGCCGAGGTGTTTAGTGTTTCAAGAGGTACTGTATCGAAGATTTATTCCGCATAATTGAAAAGCGGAAAACATCATCTGCTAAATCACAGCACGAACGAAAGTGTGTCCTGAGTGATCGTGACAGACGATCATTAAGGGCAATTGTGACGAAAAATAAGAAGACCACAGCTGCACACAGCAAGTTACTGCTGCAATGAATGTTGTGTTACCGAACCCTGTGAGTACCAAAACCATTAGAAGGGAGCTTCATAAACAGGGAATTGCTGGCCGTGCTGCAATTGAGAAGCCACTCATCAGTGATGCTAATGCCCGTAACAGGAAAAAGTGGTGTTTAAGTCATAAAGCCTGGACTATAGAGCAGTGGAAGCGAGTAATATGGTCTGATGAGTCTTCTTTCACATTGTTTCCCACTTCTGGCCGAGTTTACATCTGGAGAACGCCATCTCAAGCCTATAATACAGACTGCTTGTTGCCAAGAGTGAAACATGGCGGGGTTCTGTTATGGTTTGGGGAGCCATATCGTGGTTCTCTGCTAGCCCCATGATAACTGTGTCAGGGCACATGACTGCCAAGACTTATGTGAACATTTTGGCCGATCAAGTTCATCCCATGGTACAAACTTTGTTCCCCGATGCTGATGGTGTCTTCCAAGACGACAAAACCCCTGTTCACACAGCTCACATTGTCCAGTACTGGTTTTCTGAGCACGAGGATGAGTTGTCCCATCTCCCCTAGCCACTAAAGTCACCACACCTGAATATTATCGAACCTTTGTGGTCTACATTGGAACGGAAAGTGCGTTCTCGTTATCCACCGCCAACATCGTTATCTGAACTTGCCACCGTTTTGCAGGAAGAATGGTATAATATTCCCTTGGAAAACATACAGGAACTGTATTTATCCATTTCGAGAAGACTGCAAGCTGTTTTGGATGCCAACGGGTTTCCTACACCATATTAAGCATGTTTTTTTAACATTTTTAACATAAGAAACATTTTTTTAAAATGTGTTTCCATATTTTTGTCCAACCCCTGTATTTTAGACTTGCATTGTAGGAGGGTTCTGCACTTATATATGTTTTTAAGCTTTTTTTTTTTTACATTATTTGTAATAAAATGCAATATATTGCTTATTGGTTGTCTTTTAAAATTTTTATGAGGAAATAGTATTTATTTAATAATTAAGGTCTTCATGAAACAGAAAAGAAAGCTCGAAAAAGTAAAAATTGCTGAAATCCACAGAAAAATGATATGAATATATTTACCCAAGTGTAATGTAATAATTTAAAAAAATCCTCTTGCTCAAGCTGTTCTTCAGTTTTTGAAACATTTCGATGATTTACTGAAAACTGTTTTCAAAGAAACAATTAGTAAGCATTGCTCAGACTTTTTGCTGGTTGATTACAGATTTACTCTATCCTCAAGATATATTAGTAGATAAAGTTGCATGTGCCTATTTTATATCATTGAGTCTATTAGCAATGCATTTTGTATAATGTACATGGTTTTCCATAAATGTTACATAAATCTGCATATCAATGATCCTTGCTGTGAGTGGTGAAAAGGTGTTCAAAAGTCTATATCTGTGCATGCCTGTCTGCATTTTTCTTTAGAAAAGCGCAGATGAAAATTTATGATGCCGCTTCTGTTGTCGCTATCAATTTCTTACTTCCCCCCCTTTTTTTTTGTATAATTACATATATGAATGCTCAGGCAAACTACCTTTAAGCTACATGTAAGATAATAATGACAATTTCGAGATGACTTCTCTTCAAAGTATCCAAATGATAATTAACATCGCATAAATTCATGCATTGCAAAACTGTGCATATGATACTCAGTTTTAATACTATCATAAATATATGAGTACTGGTTTGTTAACAGTTTCTTAAAATAGCTGTGATGTTGAAAATGGTGTTCCTTTTCTCTGCAGTGGATGCAGCATCATAATTTTTCGGGCGTACATTTCTGAAAGCTGTTGGCCATAGAGGTGCATCTCTTTGGAGACTTTCTGTCTATTCATATTAAAGAATATTGCATGCAAATTTATGCAGTACTTATGGAACATTTTATGTCTGCTCTTTATGTACTTTATGAGTAGTTGTAGTTTAGGTTGTTTTTCCCTTATTTTGTAGAAATTTTATGTATGTTATTGTGTTTAATCTCATTACACAATGAAAAATTTTCTTGCTGTTTTAATTTTTAGTATATTTCTATTATAACTTATATAGGATTATCAAACTCTTGGAGTAACAAAGCAAAGTAATGTTGGGGAAAAGAGGCTGTGTGAAAGCTTTGACATTCGACTAAGTACTTTGTCAGAAGCAACAATTGATATTTTATTTTCAAAAGAAAAGGTTAGTAGTCTTTAATATTAATTCATGTACTTTAATGTGAGTGAAATGTGACGTGTGATTTAATTTAGTCATATAATACTAGAACTATTAAAAATCAAAACACTTGAGTTTCCTTATATGTAGGTATACTTCCCAGGCAGCACGTCTCCAAAAATATACGTATAATTTTGTTGAAATAAGCGTATGATATTTTTTGCATGTTACTTTTACAAAATTTATACGAATGAAAAAGGCTGAAGTTACTGTTGACTCTTTATCGTTATTTTCCACATGTTATTTTTACGAAAATTATACGAATCCGAATGTGCTGAAAAAAACTATCGCCTATATTTTATTCGTCACTTTTACGCATATTATACGAATCCGAATGTTCTGAAAGAAACTACTGCCTTTATGGTATATTTCATTCATCACTTTTGCAGATATTATAATAAGTCTAAAAAGATTGAAAATGAAGTTTATTAATTCAAAATATTTAGTGCAGTAAATTTTTACGTGCATTTTTGCAAAAAATTATATTTTCTTAATATAAAGATCTTCAAAATAACGTATTTATTTTCTTATATCAAATTTGTTATTTTTATTCATATCAACACTTACATTAATTTACACCATTTAATTTCTTTTATGAAAATCCTATTACCCATTTAACTGGAATAAGCTGTATATTAAATTTGTGTACTTACTGAGTTTGGTACAATACTCGCCTTATTTTGTTTAGCAAATGTGGGCATTTAAATTGGAATAAGACTAGCAAATCTTTCATGTCGAGGAATAGAATAATAAATAGAGCAGAAGATGCTTGAAAATGTTTAACTTCTTGAACAATAGTTTAATGTAGACCAAAGGATCATTAATTATAATCAAAGATATACTAATATTTTTATTTAATAATAATATATAATAGCTCTACAAAATTGCAAGCTGAATGAATCCTGATATTTTGCATAGATTTCAGTTTCTTTAATCTTTGTTATAAAAATCCCATGAGGCTAACATTTTTTAATTTTGTTTAATGTACGGGAAGAATGATATAGCGATTTTAATAACTTTTATATGAGGAAAAAGAAATAAACAATGTAAATAAAAATTATAAATTATATTTTATATTTTTTTTCCTGAAACAGTTAAAGACATTCTTAATATGGAGATCTACAGAATAAGTACAAGGGTCCAGTTAAATGAACTCAAAATTTGCATAGTTAATTTTACGCTAACTTATAAAAATTAACCGGATTTACGATTATACACTGAGCGTACGCATACGCAGACATTTCTATTTTTCGTAGAAAAATTTAATTATTACCTTAATACAGAGATGCTGTGAATATAAATTTATATAATGCGAAAGTAAGTTTATTTCATATGCTAATTTAGAGGCTTTCTTAATATGTTTAATTATAAAGAAAAAAAAAAAGCGTTGCAATTCTTGTTCACTGACCAATGGCAAAGCAGACACTTTCTACTTCCGGTTGTGGCGGGATATTTGTGAAGTCAGCAATGGCGGTCGAAAAGAATGGTAAAGTCGCAAAGAATACTGTTTGTTCGTGGATTGGCGTTCATGACTGAATCCATCGATGTTACTAATTATTTGAAGAAAGTAAGTAAATGTTTTATATTTTCAGTGTTTAATACTCGTACTTTCTTCATCTATATAAAATTTTATAAATAGCATCTGTGTAGGAAATGTGATTTTCCATGTGTTGTTCTTTTGTGTACGTGCCTAATGATTCATTTTCAGGATTTGGTACTGTTGTTAATGACATAGAATACCAAATCAATAAATTGAAAAAAAATTTTGCACTAGGTCTGTTTCTTACTGTTTGTGTCACTCCTGTTTGTATGTGTCTCACCTTTTATAGTTATATTATTTTTACTCAAACTTTTTAATATTTATCTTAAAGCATACTGTAATTAAGCAGGAAATAGCTTTTAATGGAAAAAGAAAGGCAATATTAAACATGACTAATTGTTCAGAAATTTGTTCTGGAAATATTATCTACCTTATGCCAAAAAATAAAGTATGTAACTTTCATTTATCTATGAAATTCAAAATTTTTTATTTGCTTAGTGTTTTCCCTAAAAATAATTTAATTTCTTATTTTTTAATTTAGTTTTATAAATTTGCTTTAATATATAATCTTTAACTCAAAGATATTGGGCTATTAAAAAAGGAAATTTTATGCGATAGAAACACAGGTACTTTGTTCCAAATCTGTGTTCATTTTTTTATATATATATACTGAATTTTCATGCACTTGTAATTACTGAAATATAACCTTTCGTGAATAATAAGTAAGTCCTTTCATGAATGCATTTCTTTCTTGTTTGTTTGATTTTGTTGTTTTAAAAGATCTGCCATAGTTAAAGAAAGAAAATAAAGTAAGAATGCTTAACTTTCAGTTTTGAATAAATTTATTACTATTTACTGCAGCTTCAGGTTTCTCTAAACATAAGTCAAAACTTGATAGTTATGTTGATTACTAGACTTACACGAAAAAAATTATTGAAAAGTTAGTATTTGATCTAAAATACCTTAAATTATTTGAATTATATTTTACTAAATCATGTATTTTGATATAACTAGATAGTTAAAAAAATGAAAATTGTAAATGTGCAGAAATGCTTATATAAAACCAAGCAATTGTTTATATTTTTCTTGCTTTTTCCCTTGTAAATTAAATATATATATATATTACAGTCTGGGGAGTCAGCACCTTTCTGAATAGTAGTAAACGAGACGTCCAATCTACTAGACCATCAAAGACATTTGGATTTTCTATTTCATAGTTATTGAAATCATAATGGTATGTTTGTTTAAATTAGTACTGTTTATGAATGTGATAAAAATAAATTCTGATAAGCTAAGAAATGATTTATTTTCTATTAATTATGAACTGTAAATAATGTAACCAATTTTCTTCATAGTATTTAATAAAAAAAATTTTTTTTAAAGGGAGGTAGTCTTATTTATACAATTCTTGCAGAGATACCAAGAAATAAAACATTTTAGGAATTTTCACTCAGTATATCTTGATGTGTAAAATCATGTTGTTCAATGCCATATTACTTTCTCACAGGAAAGTAATTTTATTGATCTAACAAATGCATAAATCAAACTTCTTTAAGAATAATTACAGTTTCTAAGCTAACTTAAAATTTTCAGATTTAGAAAATATATGTTTAATGTAGCATTAGTTTTCCATGGAATAGAAAAGGTTTTAAAAATGTTCAGTTGGTAGAGGGAAATAATATAAATGAGATTGTCCTGATATAGTTTCAGCTGGAAATGAAACTGAATTTTCGTATAGTGAAGATTTCATTTAAGAATTCTAATAAAACTGATTAATGTAACTCCTCTGCATTTAAGCATTCTAATAAAACTGATTAATGTAAATCCTATGATTCATGTAGGTATTCTTCTGTTATCAGGACCAGATTCAGAAATGCGTGTTTATATGCATGCATTTTTAAATGTATGTGCTTGTGTGTGCATGTGTATATTCTTTATGTATGTATGTGTATACTTATACACATAATGTGCATACATGCATATACACATGCTTGCAAATCTACAGTGGAAGACGACATAATTCGTTCCAGCATTCAATTGGTATAGCAAATTTCTCGTATCTAGAAACAAGCTTCCCCATTGAAAATAATGGGAATTCAGTTAACCCGTTCCACACCCCAAAATATATTAACATTTTAATATCAAGTCAATTTTTCCTAATAAATAACACTGGTAAATAATATAACCATAGTTTAACTTTGTTACCAACATTTTAATTCCTTCTCATTAATCCACACCAACAACAGCTTCTCAACATCTAGGAGTACTTTTATGGTGCTTGGAAGCAACGATAATTCCTTTGGCTACATCATGTTTCTTAATTTCTTCCTACTTCTTCAGAATAGTATAGATTTTCGATGTTGAAAGGCCGCAAGTCTTCGCCAATTCCGTCACCATGCGTATGTTTATCTATGATTTCTTTCTTGATATCGACGGCCATAGCCTCCTTATTATTCTTTGCAGCACTATCTGAGGCAACAATCTTCTTGCGAGGCATCTTAAAATAATTATTTTCACGTTAAATGTCAAAACAATTAACTTACAAGTGCACAAACATGTATATAAAAGAACACTGAGTGATCTGACGAGGGGATTCCCTGAGTTGAGCCGGATAGGGAAATGGCCGACACCACCGAGACTTAAGAAGGCCGTATCACTGAAAAGTGACGTCACGGCAAGGAGGCCCCGTACCTTCGAGCGCCGGGAGGAAAAATGATCATTGCTGTTGAGTACAAAGATACAACTTCCTTTGCGTCAGATCTGAAAGCGGCGTTTTGGCTAGTGTTTATATATTTTGTGCTTTTAATAATGAATGTTATTTTTTTCCTAGAGAATTGCAGAAAACCATAGATAAAAGGAAACTATTATTAATTTTTATATTCAGATGGATAATATCATATCTTGTTTCATGTTTACGTCAACCCAAAATTAATATATTAATTTTCTAGATTTTTTTAAATTTTCCAAAAAATTTCTATTCAGTATTTTAAAACTTTATATAATAATTATCTTCTAGCATCTAACTAGAAAGCAAAGTTAACAAAGTAATATTCAGTAGCATACTACTGGCTAAAAATATATTTGCAAAAATTACCATTAGTTTCGTTAATCCAAAAAAACCTAGTTCCATGTAAAAAAAAAAGAATGCAAAACGTTTTGCGTCAAAAAACAAATTTTTATTAGCATTTCAAAGATTATAAAATATTAAAAATTCACAAGGAAAAAAACAGACTCCATGTAGCAGATAAGTGACATAAACATGCTTTTCTTTAATACTCTTATTTTAATGCAATTATTTATTTAGTATTACTGCAGTTTTTAATTCCAAGAATAACTTTAAATGAGTAATCAATAGCATTATCCCATTTAGCTCAAAACATTATAGAGCTTTAAAAAAGCATGAAAATGCCTTTTCAGTTGAGTATATAAAGTAAATTACAGG